CCCTCCTCACCAGCCATGTTCCCCAGACCCCTCCCCAGCTCTGTTCCCCTTCTCTAGACCCTCTCCAGCCCCTCAAGGTCTTTCTCATCCTGTGGCACCCAAAACTGACCCCGGGACTCAAGCTGTGGCCTCCCCAGTGCTGAGCCCAGGGGCATGATCCCCTCCCTCCTGCTGGCCACACTAGTTTTGACCCAGGCCGGGCCACTGAAGCACTTCCATGATTCTATGATTCTCTGCCTGGGCTGCAGCCTTTCTGTCCCTCCCCCCAGGGGAACGTGGTGCTCTGGAAGCCCAGCGACACCGCCCTGCTCTCCAGCTACGCCGTCTACAGGATCCTGCTGGAGGCGGGGCTGCCTCCCGGCGTGGTGCAGTTCGTGCCGGCCGAGGGGCCCGTGTTTGGAGACACCATCACCAGCTCCGAGCACTTCTGCGGGCTCAACTTCACCGGCAGCGTGCCGTGAGTCGGGGAGGGGCGGGGAGAGGAGGGAGGAGGAGCTGGGACGGGGCCGGGCGCTCGTAGGGCAGCGTGGAGCAGGGCAGCAGCCAGGCTCACCACCTTTACACCACCTCATCAAAAGCAGGGCTTTCAAACTGAGTCTAAAAAAGGTCTAACCAGGTTTTCTTGCTGCAGTTCATAGCAGGGGGTGTGTTGCTAGACCCGAGGCACAAGGAGCAGACAGACTTAGGGATGCTGAGGGGCCCCAGCAGCCTGTGAGGGGCCCAGGACCTGGTCAGATGAGCACCAGAGCTGGCAAGGTGGGAAGCTCCCGACTCAGGATTAGCAGCTGTGCCTCCTGGGGGGAGACGATTTGCATTTGGATTGTTTTGCAGCCCAGGGGTTTGTCAGGATAAGTTTTGTCACCTAAGGACTGTAAGGAAGGAGAAGGGGAAGAGCAGAAACTTCTGCTGGGTGCTCCCTCCTCTGGTCTTCCCTGCGACACAGAAACGGTTTCTTACGTTTAAAGCCAGGGGTTGTTGTGCAGTGGGTTTGAGACTTTGGGGCTGGTCACAAGGGTTTGCTGAGGTCCCCTTTGGCAGGGAACCTTCTCCATGGGCCACCCCTGAGTCAGCCAGAGCCCACTGACCAGCTCCTCCTTCCTCTCCCAGGACTTTCAAGCGGCTCTGGAAGCAAGTGTCGGACAACCTGGATCGCTACCGCAATTTCCCACGCCTGGCAGGAGGTAACAGCCTCTCCTTACACCTTTTTTTTTGGGGAGGGGGGCCATGCAGAGGCTGAGGGGAGGGGTCAGCTTCTCTCCTGCTCAGGGAGGAACTAAAGTGATGACCAGGATTCCTCTCCCTGTGAGCAGAGAGCAGATGCCACAGTTCATTGTGTGCCGCCCACCCTCTGTGGCACAGAGGTCGTTTGGATGTGCTGGGAGTTTGGAGGAGCTTGTGGCACCAGCTCCCACCAGCACAGGACGGGCTTTTTTTTGGTGGTGACCCTCAGGGGTGGCAGAGCATCCACACTGTGTTTGGGAACTCGAGGCCACCAGTTACAAATCCCGCTCCAGCGCTGAGGTGCTTGTCAAGATCGCGCTGTTGTCCCTGGAACCACGGGCCAGGCTCAGCCCTTTGGAGAGATTCCTGGCTGTGGCTTGTGCTTATCAGAGGCGGTGCCAACCCTGCCAACTCCTCTGTTCCTCTTCTTCCTCCTCTCCCCCTCCAGAGTGCGGCGGGAAGAACTTCCACCTGGTGCACCGCTCGGCCGACGTGGGCAGCGTGGTGAACGGCACCCTGCGCTCGGCC